CGTGAAGTGGATACTTGTGAATTCAGATAAGAAGTCAAATTTTCATGTAATGCCGTCTTATCTGTTATGTAGGCAGTTATGTTAAATGGATCCTGTTAGCGAAAGTAAACGTGAAAAATTAATTAAAATTTAAAAACACAAGAAGGTATTAACAAACAGCCAACAGAGTCATATTGGAGGCTATTTATAACTAAACAACTTTTTATTTAATTAATACTCACATTTACTATATGGTACATATATTTTAAACTGAGTATTCAAGCCACCTGCCGGCTCACTTGCACTGATTTATAAACTACACAGCAAACTACTTCAGAATCAACTGTCACTGCAATTTTGATTTAAAATGTCTCAACTTGCTGACACTCAAATGGCTCAGAGCAGTCTTGAAGAGAGCTTTTTAAAGAGGATGGTCAAGTTGGAGGCCCAACTACATTCCAGAGGAAACGCCAAGGAAACTGTTGCACGAGTTTCTAAGGAATTTAGAGCACTCCGGGATCTAATGTTCAGTATGCTGGGCCCGCTACGGAAGCAAATCAAGGACTGCAATAAGACCTTGCTAGGTATCCTTAACGAGAGGATGGGAGGAAGGGATGTCACGGCACCTAATATCAAGCTATGTCACCGCCTGAGTACTCCATCCAAGGAACGTCGTCGCCCTGGTTCGACCTTCCTTTGACGTTCGTCGAGTTGGAGGTTGATATTTTTTTACACATATATTTAACAGTTTCTATATATTAAATTACAGCATTATTTTCATTACGAGCTATTAAAATTAAAAGTAAAATGTAGTGTTTACCGTCTTTTGCGGGCTTGTGGAACGAAACGTAAAACTAACGTCCGTCGAATTAAAGAGCGGGAGTGGGGTGAGGGGTGGAGGTGTACTAATACTATTTTGAGACTGTAACGTCTCCGGCGCTGCGGGAAGAGCTACAGATTCCAGAACTGTTTCCAGACTTCTTACATCACATCATCATGGGAGATTTTAACACAGACCTTCTAGCCCCAAACGCTTCCCGACGCTTTCACGCAATCTTCTGCAAATCATCCAATCAACCAGCCTTCACGTCCTGCCCCTTCAAGCTACTCACCATAATATTGAACACCAAGATACCTGGCTTGATCTAATGCTCACCTCTGCCTCTAACCTTTTGTCTTCCCACGGTCAACTTCCTGCCCCTGGTTTTTCCCACCATGACGCGATCTTCCTTTCTTACTTCCTAAAGCCTCCCAGAGTACCTCCCAAAATTTGACAAAACCGCAGTTTCCGAAGCATGGATGTCGAAAAATTACATTCAGATGCTGCTGAGATAGACTGGAAGAATATGGCCGCTGTTACTTATGTGGACAACAAAGTCAGTATTTTCAATGATACCATCATCAAACTGTATGACGTCCACGCTACTATTAGGATAATAAAACTGAAACGTGCTCCTTGGATGACGAAAGAGATCCGAACGGCAATGAGATGAAGGGATCAGTCCTTTATTCGATGTAGGAGGGATTGGTGTGAAAGCACGTGAAAGCTTTATAAGGCTGCAAGGAATCGGTGTAACCAGGTGATACGCAATGCTAAACTTTCAAAAATACAATTAGTTTCAATGATTTCAACCGTCATTTCTCATCTGCAACTGCGCTGGATCTTCAAACTAAATGTCAAACCTTCCGGCCTAAACATTCCCACTACTAACTCATCTAAATTTTCTGCGGTGCCTCCTGAGGATATCAAAAAGATTATCCTATCTATCCGCTCTAATGCTGTAGGGTATGATGGCATTGTTACCATCCGGGACCATATACTCTTAGCAATTACCCATATAATTAACTTCTCCCTCGATTCTGGAACTTTCCCCTCCCATTGGCGCAAGGTTTACATCATCCCACTCAAAAAAAAAGTAATCCGTCACTTCCTGAACATTTTAGACCTATTTCTATTCTTCCTTTTCTATCTAAAGTGCTCGAGGCCTGTGTATACAAGCAGCTTTCAGAATTTATATCATCATTCATCATCAACAGCCTTTAATAGTCCACTGCTGGACATAAGCCTCTCCTTAGAAAGGAGGTTTTGGCCTGGAGAATTTATATACCGACAAAAAATGCTAAGTCCTCTACAGTCCGGCTTCAGGCCCGGACACAACACTGTTACCGGCCTCACCGATCGTCTTCAACGGTTCAGTCATACCTTTCAGCCCTGTAGTCAGGGACCTAGGTCTACTCATTGACTCAACTCTCGATTGGCGAGCTCAAGTTAGTCATGTGAGTTAAAAAGTAACTGGATACTTACCAACACTATATCGCCTCAAAAATTTCCTGCCTCCTAAAATCAAAACTACTATCATGCAGTCCTTAATCATTCCTTTAATCGACTATGGTGTTGTTTGTTATTTCGACCTGAATGCAGACCTCCTTAATAAGCTAGACCGCCTTCTTAATAACTGCATTCGGTACATTTACAACCTTCAGAAGTATGTCCACGTGTCTGCCTTACGTTCCCAACTGAACTGGTTAAACATTCGCCTGCGCCGCAATCAGCGAGCTCTGACTTCTTTATTTTCATTTCTTACCTCCATATTCTCACCTACTTACCTTGCTTCCTACTTCCGTTTCTTGTCGTCTAATCACGACAGGAATCTTCGCTCTGCAAATAATTTGCTTCTCTTATGCCCCTGTCACAACAAACTCTTCGTTCTTCGTTCAAGCACTTCTACTCTGGAATGCGCTCCCGGTTGAAGTCAGGATGTCCACAAATCGTATAAATGTATAGTGTATGTATGTGTATTTATATATATGTGTATGTATGTAGGTGTATATATATGGGTATAGTGTGTATTTGTTTGTGTATAAAATTACGTGTGTTGTATTGTGTAGTGTATATCGTAGTGATTAGTGTTATAATAATTGGTAGGCTTCTTTATTTCTTTATTAGATAAAAAAAAATCATGAGGTGTATTCAAATTTGTGTGTGTTTGACGTTAGTTTTAACCCTCTTTAATTTAATTCAGATTCATTTCTCGTTTCTGGCGTGATTGGGTAAAATACATCCATCGTTCAGGTATCCATCATGTGTTGCTTTTCAACGCGTAAGTGACATTCAAAGAGCCCTAGGGCATTCTAGGAAGGCTGAAGGATGACAACTCACTTTAAATTTTTGAGTTGCATATGTCCATGAACAGCAGTGGTCACTTACTAATTCTGTATGACGACCTGTATTTTTATCAAGCCTCTCCTCCCTATTGCTGTAGGAAAAGAAAGACCTGATCTGATATAGCTTGTTCTCTGACATAGCGGACTCTGCAGTATAGAAGGTAAGTTTGTTGCATCTTCCACATATAACGAAAAAACATAATTCTCTACATTTTCATGCTTCACCAAACCACGGAATACAGCATCTTTAATTGAAAGTTCTTTTGCGAATTAGTATTCATGTCTATTCCCAAAATCAACCGTTGGGTCGGTTCCCACCAGGTATGATCGATTTGTCTGGTTGGAGGGTTCTGCCTTTCCTACGTTCCTTCATAAATACATATTCATTGAAGATTCAAACATTTCTGGTCCTGGATATCTATCGGCACAATTATAATACTGGTAGGAAAACGGAAAATTTATTAAGAATCAACCCCAATCTAAAAAAAATCTGAATCCATCCATGAATGTTTGAAAATGTGTACAAAAAAACTATTTTATATATCTGACAATATTTGATGTGACCCAATATGACCTGACAGCAGTATGATATTAGCATCATATGAGGAAGAGCCTTAGCTGTGCCAACTAGACTGCTAAGAAACATACTTCTATATTTTTAATACAATCATCATCACATCACATCAACAACCTATAATAGTCTACTGCTGGACATAGGCCTCTCCTTAGAAAGGAGGTTTTGGCCTACTAAACCACGATGGCCAGACGGGTTGGTATAGGATTTCTTTCAAGTTTTCCTTCTTTTTGCAGTGCTGTTGTCTTGTAGTTTGGTCCCTTAGTCAGTTCTTACGCCACCCACGGGATGAATAGGGGTGGTGACATTCCGTATTTTTAATCCATCACCACACGGATTAATACAAACACTTTATACATAAACTTCACCCACATACAGAAAAAAATACGGTGTTCATTACATGATCTTATATAATGACAATTTAAATTACTCGTATTTTGCTTGACAAAATATTTATAACGGCGTAAAACAGATATAAAAATAAAGTCTCTAATGTCGGCTCAATCGCAACTGATACCTTACACAGGCAACATCGTCATAAAGAAAAAGAATAGGAAATAGTTGAAATAACAAGTAAGTAATTTGTTTAAGTAGTGGTGTCAAACGAATGTGTTTGATTGTGGTGTCAAATCGCAAAGCCATTGAGATTCTGACCATTAGCAGAATGTATGCTTGTTTTTTAACTTGGATACAAATATTATAATACAAATTACACTATCTTTATTCAGACAATTTTATAGAGTTATTCTTATTGTATTGAAATACGTCTAAGAATGGCTTTACATGGGGCAAAGGTCGGGTTGCCTCTGACTCTCAAACTAGCTGTGATCCTGTGTTTGAGTCGTCACTGGTTTCTCTCTCTGGCCATATTATAGGTACAAACTCCCAATACTAAATTACAAAATAACAAAGGGAGTATTTTATATGCAACGTGTATTTTATATGTGTGTGTGTGTAAGTGTGTAAACACTTATGTGTGTGTATTTGTGGCAAATAATTACACAAATCCATTGTAAATTAATAAATAATCTAATAAATTTTATTAATACATTTTTTTGGTTGAAGTTCCTAAACTCTTAAAGATAATGGTTAGGGTTAAATTGAATTTTCTAGAATATAATAACTCAATTGTAATAACATGTCGCTATAACTATAAAAGTCAAAAGAGGCTATAAACAAACACAAAACACATGCAAAAAACAAATGTCACAAAGACTAGAGGACAGTAATGCTTTCAATACATGTCTAAAATGGAAATATTTTGTTCCAGAGCTGCTCAACCATGGGATCTGCTACATCTACGACAGCTCTACAACTAGCCCAAATACCTATAGCTCTACTGACATATCTGGGACTCGATGGAGTATCATGGCCAGAACAAGCCGTTCTGAAAAGTATTTATTTAGTTCTTGTCGTTTTTACACTCTATTTATGATTTTCTCGTTTGCAAAATATGCTTTCGAACAAGACATAATTTGTCCTATCCTATTATTGACTTCTAGAATTTATTTGATATTTCTAGCATCTATAATAACAACAAGATTTAGGAGTATATGCTATATCCCCAAAGCTGTAAGCGGAACTCTAATCATCATGATCACCATCAAGAACAACCTTTAATAGTCCACTGCTGTTTGGTCTATTATACCACGCTGGCCAGACGGGTTTTTATAGGTTTGTGTCAAGTTTTCCTAATCTACGCAGTGCTGCTGTCCTACGTAGTTTGCTCCCTTGGTCTGCTCTTACGACACCGAGGTAATGAATAGGGGTGGTGACAGTCCATATTCTTAATCCGTTGTCGCGGGAGTTGACCTTTAAAAGAAAATAATTTACACATAACTAAAATATTTGAAAATAGGGAGAGTAAATAAAATAATATAAGTAATTAATTTTCCTTCTTTGTCACAGATAATACTTCATACGACTATATAGTTATCGGTGCTGGTAGTGCAGGGTCTGTAGTAGCAACGAGATTAGCAGAAGATCAACAGAATAGTGTGCTAGTTTTAGAAGCCGGGGGTGACCCACCTATCATCGCTCTTGTAAGTACTTTATTTCAAAAACACATCGTCCTACCGTTTCACAATTTTATTTATAATATGTTCGGCTTAACGGAACACTAAACAAAAGTTTGAGACTGTTTCAAAATTTCGGCATTTCCTAAACACTAGTATTTCGATCTGAATCCAGTAAATATGCCGTAATATTTAATTTCATATGAATCTTATTAAAATACTGGTTTAGACTTTAAAAAATAGAATACTCATTTCACACGTTTTTTCAAAATATAATACTGTTTGAGTCGCAGGAACTAAGTAGATCAAACTAATCCATGTACGAAACTAACTAAATAGGCTTAGTAGATTCAAAATAAATTAGCTGTGATAGACAGACCGACAGATGCACGTGTAGCCTAAAAGGTTTCTTCTTTTTTTTCATTCATACTTAGGGAACAGCTGAATTTGGAACCTCATTATTCATGGATGTCATTTTAAACGTTAATTAATTAGCTCGAAAAGAAAGGGTAAGAAGTATTAGACCATGTTTGCATTAATAATAATAATAACAAATTACAATATATTCTTAAGTTTTTTTTTCAATGACATGTGGAAAATATTTCTCTTACAGTTGGCGGCTTTTGTCGTAGCATTACCTCACTCAATTGCTGACTACAATTATACTTCTACCATCGACCCTTATGCAGCTAGAAGTCAAGACAACTATACTATGTTGACGGCAGGGAAGACTCTTGGAGGTTCTGACACTATCAACCATTTTTTACATATTCGAGGTTCGCCATCGGACTTCGATGGTTGGGCTGAAATATCTGGGGATGATTCTTGGAAATATACCAATATTTTAAAATACTTTATAAAAAGTGAAAGGGTCGACGACAAAGAAATACTAAAAGAACATCCTGATTATCACGGCACGACCGGACCTATGGGCCTCACCAGACAAGTAGTAGATTATCATGAACTTGAAGATTACCTAAAAGCTTTTAGTGAGGCTGGTAATCCTATTATTTTAGACTTAAATGCGAACCAATCCATAGGATATACACAACCACAATACACGTTAGCAGACAGAAAAAGGCAAACACCGGCTTATTCATACTTACAAAAAGTTAAAGATTATCCTAATTTACATGTATCTAAAAATACACGTGTCACAAAGATTATATTTGAAAATAATGTTGCAGTAGCCGTGGAAGCGGTGTACAAGAATAAAAAATATACCTTTAAAGCTGACAAGGAAATAATACTAAGTGCCGGAGTTTTTAATACTCCTCAGATACTAATGCTTTCCGGTATAGGTCCTGAAAATCACTTAAAATCAAAGAATATTGAAGTGATATCAAATCTGCCAGTAGGAGAAAATCTTATGGATCAAGTAACTGTAACCATTGTTTATAAAACAAAAAAGTATTTGACACCACTCCTAGGTTTAACTAAACTTGACGCTAACCTTACAAAAATTCCTTTCCCTGTCATAGTTGGAACGGCATCTTTAAATAAATCAGATGTCACAAATGCTGATTATCAAACTTATAACTTACTATTTGCTCATGACACACCACTTCTGACAGTAGCGTGCCGTCCTGCTTTTGGATATCGTGATGATATCTGTAATGGCTGGAAAAAACAAGTAAGATTACGCGACTCGCTTTTTAATCTCATTGTAAATGTTCAACCAAAATCAAGAGGCACTGTTCGTTTAAGGAGCACTGATCCGTTTGACGATCCTGAAATCACCATGAACTATTTCTCAGAACAAGAAGATTTAGAAGATATGTTGAAGTATGTAAAAGATTTTATCAGAATTGGGGAAACGGATACTTTAAAAAAAATGAAAGCAGAAATTGTTGGTTTAGATTTGCCAGAATGTGCAGACAAGGAAAGAGGGTCAGATGAGTTCTGGAAATGTTATATTCTTAATAGAGCCATAAGTGTTTTCCATTCCTCATGCACTTGTCCCATGGGAACTGTTGTTGATGGTAAACTGAAACTTAAAGGATTTGAAAACATCAGAATAGTTGATGCTAGTGTTATGCCTAAGGTCCCTAAGAGCGCTCCAAATGCAGCAATTATAATGTTAGCCGAAAAAGCGGCAGATATGATAAAAAGTAAGTTGTAATGATAAAAAAAATTGTTTCTAGACATATTACGTAATAAATAAAAAATATTAGATGAGAACGGTTTCATTTTTTTTTGTGAATAAATTATCTAGCCGATAAAGCTACGCCAAGTGTTTCTCACCAATTTACCTAATTCTTTGTATCGATGTGTATATGACCAGACCAGGTCTACTCGAATAAAATAAGTGGGATTCTTGTATTTTAATTGCCTTTTTCAAATCTAATACGTAAGCGCTGCTTTATATATTATAGCTTTATATAAAAACAATGGCATTGTGATAAATTACTTTTTTACATTACTTCCATGTCAATCAAGCTGAGCTGACTATAAGCATTTACTCTATGATGATACATTTACAGTTAATTGGCATTCGCGTTACCAACCTTTTATAAGCCAGTATACTTCTTTCTGGAAGGATCCCCTACGTACACAGGTAGATGTATGATTCATTAGGGGGACTTTAGGAGTTCATTAGACAATCAGGGTGATTGCAAGAGAATATTCATTGGAATCCTGCTATACCCAGTTATTTCAGTTAGTCATTCAGAAATATAGTTACCTGTGTGGCGACTTCCACATAGAATGAAACACAGAAACATACCACAGAGCCATCTAACGAAGACACACCAAAATAGTGAGTAACTCCTGAATGAGAATTGCTAATCCTGTATCGCTGTATGAAGAATTCTCTCGCCCATTAGCACATATACAACTTCCCAACATCAACCATTGGGCCGCGGCCCATTAGGCATGACCACCTCGTCTGGTCGGAGAATCCTCCCTTTTTATTGCAGGAATCGGAAGTCGCCAGATCAGTCGGGGTCACCACTGTGGAGGAACGGGTGTCGTGTACAGGATTAGGAATTCTCATTCAGGAGTTACTAAGTACTTTGATGTGTCGTCGTTAAATGGCGCTGTAGTATGTTTCTGTGTTTCATTCTATGTAGAAGTCGCCACACTAAGTTCTATAGCTTTTTCTGATCAGAATATTTAACAAAAACTTAAAAAGTCTATTAATAAAACAATGTTATTGTTATTAAGTATATTTTATTTAATAAATATTAGTAATAGCTTTCACTTTTAATCATATCGGCGCCTTTCTCTGCTAAAGCTATAACAGCGGCAGCACCTTTGGGTGGTTCTGGAATAACACTTGCATCTATCACTCTTAACCTTTTAAAACCTAAAAGATTCAGCGAACCATCAACTAAGCTGCCCATGGCTCACGTGCCTATATAGTGGTATGGACTAATTGCCCTATTTAAAATATAACACTCCCAGAATTCGTCAGAACCAGGCTTTTTATGTGAACATTCATCAAGATCTAAACCGACCAATTCAGCTTTAACCTTTTGAAAGTAGAAGGTTTTTCCAACTTGAATAAATTTTTGACAAATTTCACCATATTTTTCAAGTCTGTCTCGTCAGTAAAATAGCCTGTCGTAATTTCTGGATCATCAAATGGATCAGTACTTCTTAAGCTAACTGAACCTCTAGATCGTGGGCTAATATTAGCTAACACAGTGTACAAAGTGTCTCTTCCAACTGTCACAGATGTCACATGACACAGAATAAATATTGCTAATGCGGGAGATGCGAGTTGTCTTTAAAAAAAACTTTTTGTAGTTTTATTTTTTATGAAAGAGGTAGCAAACGAGCAGAGGGGTAACCTGATGGAAAGCGACTACCGCCGCCCATGATCGACTGCAGCTCAGGAGTTGCAAGTGCGTTGCCGGCTTTTGAGGAAGAAGTACGCTCGTTTCTTGAAGGTTTGGAGGTCTTGTGTGTCTTGAAAACCGCACAGTAGTGGAGATGGCGGCAAGTTGCGGCCGGTATTAGTCTGAACAATTCCTCGTAGCTTCCTTGGAGTTGGTAGACCGGAATGAAATACTGCCTCGATCTGTTCAGCACACCAGCACTTCTTCGAGGCCAATTTGACCCTACCCTCTAAGTAACCCTGACACTGGACTTCGCTCGAAATGTCGATGCCTAGGATTCCGATACTGGCTGAGGAAGTAAAGGAGGTGCTCTGAAACCAAGGCAATATAACAAACGGTATCTTTTTTGCAGTAACAGCGCAAACCTGTCTTTTAGGGGTTAAAATGGACTAGATTCTATGGACCCCAATCTGAAGGAGGGAAGTTTTAATTTCAGACGCAAGTTTGTTTCGACTCTCGATGACGTTTGCCCGCGAAATATTGAGGCTGCCGGTATAAAAGACATCTCCCGTGCTATCATAATAGATGCTACGAGTTTGCAACATATCATTGACATGCAGAAGAAACGGCCTTGCGGGACACCAGCGTTTACAGATTTCATGTCGGAGCATGCACCGTCGATAACGACCTTAATGAAGATGACAGCAGTGTCTGCAAGGAAACTGGTGACCCAGTTACATAATTTTTTTTGGATGCTTTTAGGAAGGGAGCTTTGAAAGACACGCCTTATACTAGACCCGATTAAAGACCTTGACTATGTCCAAGCTCAACGCTCAAGCCTCTCCCATGGTCTCGATCGCCTGTGCCCGTCAGTGTGTTAAATGGATGAGATAGTAACAGAATTAAAACAAAAACCTGTCATACAAACAAAAAGTCTAAAAAGTGATTAGGCGCTGAGGCTCGAACAGTCTCCACTCATCATAAGGCACTTAGTGGAAGTGAGCTAATCGTATTATTACGCCACTTGTTCTAATGACTACTGTATTGAATTTTAGAACTGCTTTCAAATAGGTACCACTAGAAGTTCAATAGAATGAAAACGTGTGTACAGTGTTGCGGCAGTGTCAAATTTTCGTCATTTTATTTAAATAGTGTTGTCAACTGATAATCTTACATTGTGTCTGAATTATAATTAATTAAAATTAAAGAAATGTAACCTAACTTGCTCTGTGAAATGCAAGAAAAGAATTGCGAAATATCGGTTTACAGTGAGGCCGTGATGATATAATTCCAGTCGACCTGGGCCTCAATTCTGCTATTTTATGTTTACGCCAAGCCAGTGTCATACCACTGACACGCTATTGAGATGCCATCGTGTAGCCATTGGCATCGGTATAAATATCGGTAGTTGAAAATATATTACGTTTTTTGAGGAAATGATTTATTTGTTTTTATTATAATAAATTATTAAAAGAAATAAATAAATTAAAATAAATTCACCCACAGTCACCACCCCTATTCATTACCTCGGTGTCGTAAGAGCCGACCAAGGGAGCAAACTACGCAGGACAGCAGCACTGCATAGATTAGGAAAACTTGACACAAACCTATAAAACACAGTCTGGCCAGCGTGGTATAATAGACTAAACAGCAGTGGGCTGTTAAAGGCTGTTCTTGATGATGATCATGATGATTAGAGTTCTGCTTACAGCTTTGGGGATATAGCATATACTCCTAAATCTAGGATAGGACAAAGTATATCTAGTTCGAAAGCATATTTTGCAAACGAGAAAATCATAAATAGTGTGAAAAAGACAGGAACTAAATTAATACTTTTCAGAACGGCTTGCTCTGGCCATGAAACTCCATCGAGTCCCAGATATGTCAGTAGAGCTATAGGTATTTGGGCTAGTTGTAGAGCTGTCGTAGATGTAGCAGATCCCATGGTTGAGCAGATCTGGAACAAAATATTTCCATTTTAGACATGTATTGCAAGCATTAATGTTCTCTAGTCTTTGTGACATTTTCTTTTCATGTGTTTTGTGTTTGTTTATAGCCTCCTCTGCCTTTAATGGTTATAGCGACGAGTTATTACAATAGAGTTATTATATTCTGGAAAATTCTATTAAACCGTAACTAACATCTTTAAGAGTTATAAATATTTACACACTTACACACACTCACAAAATACACGCTGCATACTCCCTTTGTTATTTTGTAATTTAAAGGAGTTTGTACCTATAACGTGGCCAGAGAGAGAGAAACCAGTGGCGACTCAAACACAGGTTCACACCTAGTTTCAGAGTCAGAGGCAACCCCACCTTTGCCCCATGTAAAGCCATTCTTACATGTATTTCAATACAATAAGAATAACTCTATGAAATTGCCTGAATAAAGATAGTGTTATTTGTATTATATTATTTGTATCCAAGTTAACAAACAAGCATACATTCTGCCTAATGGGCGGAATCTCAATGGCTTTGCGATTTGACACCACCATCAAACACACTCGTTTGACACCACAACTTAAACAAATGACTTACTTGTTATTTGTGTATTTTCTATTGTTTTTCTTTATGATGATGTTGCCTGTATAAGGTAACAGTTGCAATTGAGCCGACAATACACGAAAGTGCTAAGTGTACACCTTATCTTTTTTACATTTTCATTTCCTGACGTAACATTTTCATAAAATAATAAAAGATTATTGGTTTACATTCTTAAAGACTTCATTTTTATATCTGTTTTACGCCGTTATAAATATTTTGTCACGCAAAATACGAGTAATTTTAATTGTCATTATAAAAGATCATGTAATGAACACCGTATTTTTTTCTGTACGTGGGTGAAGTTTATTTATAACATGTTTGTATTAATCCGTGTGGTGATGGATTAAAAATACGGAATGTCACCACCCCTGTTCATCCCGTGGGTGTCGTAAGAGTCGCCTAAGGGAACAAACTGCACAGGACAACAGCACTGCAAAAAGAATAAAAACTTGAAACAAACCCTATACCAACCCGTCTGGCCAGCGTGGTATAGTAGGCCAAAACCTCCTTTCTAAGGAGAGGCCTATGTCCAGCAGTGGACTATTATAGGCTGTTTACGATGATGATGATGAACCAGCCTCCATGTCCTGCCCCTTCAAGCCACTCACCATAATACTGAACACCAAGATACCTGGCTTGATCTAATGCTCACCTCAGACCCTAACCTTTTGTCTTCCCACGGTCAACTTCCTGCCGCTGGCTTTTCCCACTATGACGTGATCTTCCTTTCTTACTTCCTAAAGCCACACTGGCAAGATGGGTTGGTATAGTTGCAGTACTGTTGTCCTGCATAGTTTGCTGCCTTAGTCGGCTCTTACGGATGGTGACACTCCGTATTCTTAATCCTTCACAAAAGGATGATGAAAACTACCACAGAATGCAGGAAAGCAAAAGGAAAGATGCTACACATGAAAACCGTGTCAAGGAGAAAAAAACAAATAATGGCTGTGAATACAGGTATTTGTATAATTAACCTGCCCCGGAGAATATATAAAACTATACGCTGTTCTGTCATAAGTAGATTTATTGCTTGTTCAGTCAGTTCGCTCATGAATGACGTCTCACTATTATCCTTTCTAGTTTCTATTCTAAGTGGAACGTAGCAATACTGATAAACCGTTCCAGAACTTGACTATATATTGATCAGTAGGCGATATTGAAAGTACAAGGACCCTTCTGGTTTAGGTGCAGTAAACGCCACACCATTATCTCAGGCCTGCTTCTGCTAAGGTTGTTTTTCGTTATGGGAAATATTCATAAAGGTTGAAAATTACAAGTCTTTGATTTTTGTGCCTTGTGATGTGCCTATGTGCTTAGAATATTCCAATTTTATTTTTCAAATGTTTGCTGTTTATACAAGCGCAGCCAGATACTTTAAAGAGAGAATTGAAGGGATGTTTTATTATCTTATTAGTATTTTTACCTTTCGATGCTATCAGACAAGTCATATGTAGGTCGAGTAAATTGTAAATTTATGCAGGTGCCTTCAACGATAAGGAATATCAAGTGTCTTGTTTTGTACTGTAGTTTTATTTGGACAATACTTTTTTTGAGGTTACTACGAGTATTATCACAAGCTGGCAATAAATTAGCAAATCTGGTAATAAATTAGCTAATATCTTATGGTACAGTGGAAATAGGATAGCGTAAACTACATAACATGCTATATGGAGGCAAGGCAATTTATTGAGATTTACTGAGAATCAATTATACTAGATGTTAATGCAAGTATTACTTATTAATTTAATGCATGAAGTTATTAAATATAAGGATGAAACCGATTTTGCTTCAAGGACCTGAACTTCAAGGCAAGAATCAGTGCAATTTATAGGTATACGACCTTGTTTTGCCATTTCGTTTGGCGGAGAGTCATGCTTCGGATCAAATGGACCAGGGCCTCAATTCTGATATTACGCCAAGCCAGTGTCATACCACTGACACGCTATTGAGATGCCATCGAGTAGCCATTGGCATCGGTATAAATATCGGTAGTTGAAAATATATTACGTTTTTTGAGGAAATGATTTATTTGTTTTTATTACAATAAATTATTAAAAGAAATAAATAAATTAAAATAACTTATTAAAAACATTAAATTAAGAAAAAAAGAGATAAATAAATTATTAAAGAATAAAATATAAAAATTATAAAAAAGAAATAAATAAATTATTAAAATAAATCATCCTTGACGGATTGGATTAACAGAGTTTGGCAAGTCATCATCTCTTCTCTCGAATTTAGTTATAGCAGAAGTATGGTATCTGCCAATTGACCTTTCAGGTGTATCTGGGTGTACTACTTCGTAAGTGGCAGCTCCATGTTTCTTTACTATTATGTAAGGACCGTCTCGCCGTGGAGCAAACTTTGCAGAGAATTGTTTTTCACTATTACTAATTGGATGTGTCTCGACCAACACTAAGTCTCCAATTTTATATCCTGGATCGGGTCTTCTCTTAGCGTTTGCCTTAAATCTGTTTGATTCCAGATTATCTTCAATGTTTTCTTTCGCAAGTGCCAAATCCTGAGCTAATTGCTTCAAGGCTGGCGTTATTCCTTTTATAAAGTTCTCAGATGATACAGTAAAACTTAAGTCATGTGTTAAGTCATAAGTGGTTCTCAATTCGCGACCAAATGTCAGGTATGATGGTGAGTAACCTGTTGTTTGACAAATCGCTGTATTCATAGCAAATCGGATTACAGGCAATGTAGCTGGCCAATTGTTATGCTTGTTTTTAACCATCATTGCTATTTGTGTTTTCATATCTCTATTCTTCCTCTCTACGGTGTTTGGCTCAGGATGATAAACGGGGGTATAAACTTGTTCTATATCTAAACAATATGTAAGTTTTTGCATTACTGCTGATATGAATTGAACTCCGTTATCACTCACAAGTTTCCTTGGTAAACCGTAGCGCAAGAATATTTCATTTATTAGTGTGTATGCACAATTTTCAGCAGTAGCTTCTTTTAAGGCAAAAATTTCAATCCATCTAGATGTGGTATCTTCCACAATGAAGATCCATTTCTCTCCAGAAGGTCCTTTGGGTAGTGGGCCAAATAAATCAACCGATAGGACTTCGAATCTGTGACAGTTCGGAGTAGATTGGAATAATCCAGCTGGTTTTTGGTTTGAAGGTTTGTATTTTTGGCAATCGACGCATGTTTTAATGTGATTGATTATGTCTTTTCGCATTCCCTTCCAGTAAAATTTCTTAATTATACGTTGTAATGTTCGTTCAATTCCCATGTGTCCAGCAGTGGGTGCATCATGATAAGATTTTAGTATGTTAGGTATTTCGTGTTTTGGGATGAATAGTTTTGCATTATCATCGTCTTGTTCTGGGGCATAACGATACAATACTCCTTTGTGCAACAGAAATCCTTTCTTAATGTATTCTGCATATTTATCCGATTCTTCTTCATTTTCTAACGTTTTTATTATTAATTTCACATCGTTATCTCTCAACTGTTCTTCTCGTATTTGTTTTTCATTGAGTCTTGGAAGTTCCATCTCTATTTTACAAATTGTGCAGTTTTCGGTATGATTAGCACATGGCGGTCGTGACAATGTATCAGCTACAACATTGGTACGACCTGGCGTATACAAAATCTTAAATTCATATGGTTGTAATTGAAGCGCCCATCTCGCAAGACGACCAGTTGGGGTTTTCAGATTCATTAACCATTTTAGAGGTTGGTGATCTGTTATAGTTATGAAACGAGTTCCTTCTATGTAACCACGAAATTGCGATATAGCCCATACAATTGCTAAGGCTTCTTTTTCTGTTACTGTATAATTGCATTCGGCTGGAGTCAGCAATCTACTTGCATATTCTACAGGATGTTCATGCTCGCCCTCCCCCTGCACTAAAGCTGCGCCTATGGCATACTGACTTGCGTCTGTTTTAATTGTAAATGGCAAATTTTCGTTAGCTTGTTTCGGTACAGGTGCTGTAGTTAGTGCAATCTTTAATTTGTTGAAGGATTCTCGGTGTTCCGAATTCCATTGCCAAGTAACTTTCTTTCGTGTTAAATTAGTTAATGGCCTTGCAATTTCTGCGAACTTGTATATAAATCTACGGTACCAAGAAGCTGTTTGTAGAAATGATATCAATTGTTTAAGATTTCTAGGTTCTCGTAGGTTCCGACATGGACGCGATGGTCTATGACCAAGTCCGTTCTGTCGGTCGGAATGGTGAGGAGGCCGCGCCGGATCATGAGCCCGGAATGCTACGGCGGAACGCGCATACGCAGGCTTTGCGAGCGTGGCAGGCACGGCTTGTAATCCAGGGCTGTGCTAGCCAACGCGCCGTCGGAGCCGTTCTGCCGAGCTTCGAAGCGTGGGTAGGGAGGAACGACGGTGTCACCTACCGATTGACTCAGATGCTTACCGGGCACGGTTGCTTCGGTGAGTATCTGAATCGAATTGGACGGGAGGCCACGGCACAATGCCACCATTGCGGGTCCGACCGGGACTCCGCCCAGCACACGCTGGAGGACTGCCCTGCATGGGAGTCCGAACGTCGAGTCTTGGTGGGACAGATCGGACAAAACCTGTCACCGCCAGCATTAATCGCGGCAATGCTGGCGAGTGGCGAGGGATGGGCAGCCGCGGTCTCCTTCTGCGAGGACGTTATGCTCCAAAAGGAGGCCGCAGAGCGGGATCGGGAGAGGGCCGATCCCGCTCGAAGGAGGCGGCGAAGGGGACGCGGCAGAGGTCGCTAACTCCCCAATCGCCGCCTAAGGGTCGCTGCGGCCACATCTTGGGGCGATGTGACCGCTGTAAACGACCCGAGACGGATGACACTCCGGTGCGGCCGGGGGGGTGTCGTCTAAGGCGGGACGCCGTTGCGCCTTTTACTCTGTAGAGTAGTGAGAGGCGCGATAGCATCCTGCCCCAGGGTGACTACGGTCACTCCGGGATGTGCCTCAGACATGAGGTACGGCAGGGAGGACTCCAGAAGTCGCCGATGCATTCCTGGAGCTCCTCCCGACTGCCGAGGTAGGCCGCCGCGGGGTTTAGTGGGTAGACCGGTTCTCCGGGAGTCCCACACACGCCCTGCGTTTCCCCAACGGAGGGTATGGTGCGAAAAGCATTCCCCGCGTGAAAACAAAAAAAAAAAAAAAAAGAAGGTTCTCGTAGGTTAGCAATAGCAGACACTTTCTCAGGATCTGCTTTTATTCCTTCAGGCACAATCAAATGTCCCAAATATTTTACTTCAGAACAACCAAACTTGCATTTCTTTCTATTAGCATGCAAATTATATTCTCTAAGTTTATCAAATACTTCCCTTAAATCTTGTAGGTGTTGAAGGAAAGAGACAGACCTCAGGATTAAATCATCTAAATAGGAAATGACACAGGTCGCTTTTAAGCCTCTTATAAGCTTATCCATCAATCTTTGAAACGTAGCAGGTGCATTTCGTAATCCAAAAGGCATACGTTTAAACCGATACATTCCAAACGGTGAAACGAACGTTGTCTTGTCTTGGTCGTCTGGATGCACTAAGATCTGATGATAACTTGATTGTAAATCGATTGTAGACATATATGGCATAGCTTTAGCTTAATGCAGTAAGTCATCGATACGTGGTAACGGATATCTATCAGGTTTAGTAATCTCGTTTAGCTTCCTATAGTCTATACAAACTCTTACATCATTGTCGCCTTTAGGTACAAGTATTACAGGTGCTGACCATGAGGAGTCTGATTCCTCAATTATGTCATCTTTAAGCATTTCATCTATTTTCTCCCGTAGTTGTTGTTGCCTTGTGAGTGAAAGTCTATATGGTTTGACACTAATTGGGGGATGATTGCCTGTGTCTATTCTATGTACAGCAAATGAAGTAGGTTTTGTATTTTTATTAAAAATTGAACTATATTCTGTAAGCAAGTCATTGAAAACTTGTTGCTCATGTTCAGTAAGTAAGGTACCTTCATGAGGTTGTAAATAAATATCAATAGAATACAAAGTACAAGGATTTATTGGAACATAATTAATGCGTGGATCAATAGAAGAGTATTTATCAGCGGGCTCTCGCGGACGTACTGGTCGCGGTGGTGTGTCAAGTTTGTGTAAAGTCCAGCGTGGTCTTTTTGCGTCTGGCGGAGTGTCTTGGTCCCTTTGTGGTGATGGCGTTTCGGCCATCGGTGAAACCATTGTGAGTTCTCTAGCCCACCTCAGAAAATCATTTAGAGGTTCCTTTGGCTCACCTACAAAAGTTATAGCCTTTGCGGCTTTAAGCGGGATTTTTTGGTTACACAACTGCAAAATTGTATGTTCTCTTTCTGGTTCATCTATATAATGCCAACATCTTTGAGGCAAGTTTAAGACTATTCCCGACGATTCCAGAAAGTCAATACCTAGAAGGGTCCTGTTATCTTTCGCCTCGGGCAATACGGTAAACGAAATCGGCAAATTACGTTGCCCGATACAAATGTTTACCTCGGCAGTCAGGAGCTTGGATGTCTTTCTGTTGCCATCAGCCAAGATTATTTCTGCTGTGCATTCCGCAAATTGTGTTCCTTTTCGTACCAACGATTTGTATAGCTGTGTACCTGCAATGCTAGTTCTGGCAGCTGTGTCGATATGAGCGTATCCATTTTCGCCGTTGACAACTATTTCTATAGTCGGTATTTTAGATTGGTTTTTCATGGTTGTCTCCATGGTATAAAATGCAACCGGTTTCGGCGGCAACTCTTTATTTTTATACGTCCCACACCTGCTTCTATATACTCCAGGTGCACCACAACCGTAACATTTAATTAGATCTTTAGATGTTACGTTGTTGGTTGCCATAGTTTCTTTTTTTATTTCGGCAAGCCTTTTGCGACAAACTTCAACTGCGTGTCCCCTCTTGCCACAAAATGTACATCTTAACGCTTTTCTTTCTTCAATACCACCGTCTGCAGCTTCTTTTAAAAGATTTTCTATGTGACGGCCACGTTGCAAAAGTTCGTCGAATGTTTTTAAGTCTTCTCGGGCTATGTCCTTTTTGTACTGTATTTTCAAGAGCCCATAGATCATATCTAATTGTTCGTCCTCTTTGTGACGCTTTGCAGGTAACTGCGCCAATAAAGCTCTTTTTTTACAAACAAATTCATCAATAGGTTCACTTGTTTGTTTTTTCGCAAATATTTCCAAATAAATATCATGCGGGCGTTTTTGTGGCGCGAAAGCTGACCGGATCGCTTCTATTGCCGCATTCCATTTTTTTACACTCGGTTTTATACCTATCCACCAAGTAGCAGCCTTTTCTGTGAGTACCAAGGATAGTCCTTCCAAGGCGTCTTCGTCGGAAATTTTTTCCACCTTCTTGAAAACTGTTATTTTGGTAAGAAACTCCTCCACCTTATTAAAACAACGTTCGCCATTATATTTAGCATGACACGGCGCAAAACTTTTGGTAGCCATTGTTTTCAGTTGTAGTTTAGTTAATATTTCGCTTAACTGCTTGATTGCGTCTGCTGACAAATCTTTAGATTCAGACATTATAAAGCTTTTCAAATACGTGTACTTTTCTCAAAAATAGTGGGTAGTTTACGAAATTAATCTTCAATGTATATTTGTTTTGAAATAATATTCTTATAATGAGGGTATATTCTTCTGGTATTTTATTTGTATAGTGGGTACTTCACAATACGTCAATTATACTTGACATCTGTAGCTAACTTCATTAACGTTGGGCGTCAAATGTAGGACGATAGGGTTACCAGTGCAGAAATCATAGACGTCTTTGGTAGCTGTTATCGTTTATTCTGGTTTCTGTCTAGCTTATACATAAAGTAGCAAACTTGTACTTATACATAAAACCCTATGAGAGCAGTGAAGAGGACTGCGGGGCTATCGCTCATCACTACTTTCCTACGCTACATGAGTGTCTTAAGAGGACTGCGGGGCTATCGCTCTTGAAGACCTCATGCTTAGCAGAACCTGATGACTGCGGGGCTATCGATCAGGTCAGCTACTGGACACCAGAGTGGACTGCGGGGCTATCGCACTCTGAGTCGTCTAGCTATCGACTGCCATACTGGAGGCTGCGTGCCGGTTTATATAGGAGGCCCTGTGCTCCCACTCCCACTATGTCGTAGGTGATGCGCGTTGAATGGAATAGATAGTCGGTGTGCGAGAGAGAAAGTATTCGGGTCCACGCGTAGTACATTATTGTCTTGCTACAATACTTGCATTAACATCTAGTATAATTGATTCTCAGTATATCTCAATAAATTGCCTTGCCTCCATATAGCATGTTATGTAGTTTACGCTATCCTATTTCCACTGTACCATAGGATATTAGCTAATTTATTACCAGATTTGCTAATTTATTGCCAGCTTGTGATAATACTCGTAGTAACCTCAAAAAAATATTGTCAAAATAAAACTACAGTACAAAACAAGACACTTGATATTCCTTATCGTTGAAGGCGCCTGCATAAATTTACAATTTACTCGACCTACATATGACTTGTCTGATAGCATCGAAAGGTAAAAATACTAATAAGATAATAAAACATCCCTTCAATTCTCTCTTTAAAGTATCTAGCTACACTTGTATAAACAGCAAACATTTGAAAAATAAAATTGGAATATTCTAAGCACATAGGCACATCACAAGGCACAAAAATCAAAGACTTGTAATTTTCAACCTTTATGAATATTTGCCAAAACGAGAAACAACCTTAGCAGAAGCAGGCCTGAGACAATGGTGTGTTTACTGCACCTAAACCAGAAGGGTCCTTGTACTTTCAATATCGCCTACTGATCAATATATAGTCAAGTTCTGGAACGGTTTATCAGTATTGCTACGTTCCACTTAGAATAGAAACTAGAAAGGATAATTGTGAGACGTCATTCTTGAGCAAACTGACTGAACAAGCAATAAATCTACTTATAACAGAACAGCGTAGAGTTTTATATATTCTCCGGGGCAGGTTAATTATACAAATACCTGTATTCACAGCCATTATTTGTTTTTTTCTCCTTGACACGGTTTTCATGTGGAGCATCTTTCCTTATGCTTTCCTGCATTCTGTGGTAGTTTTCATCATCCGTTTGTGAAGGATTAAGAATACGGAGTGTCACCATCCGTAAGAGCCGACTAAGGCAGCAAACTATGCAGGACAACAGCGCTGCAACTATACCAATCCATCTTGCCAGTGTGGCTTTAGGAAGTAAGAAAGGAAGATCACGTCATAGTGGGAAAAACCAGGGGCAGGAAGTTGACCGTGGGAAGACAAAAGGTTAGGGTCTGAGGTGAGCATTAGATCAAGCCAGGTATCTTGGTGTTCAGTATTATGGTGAGTGGCTTGAAGGGGCAGGACATGGAGGCTGGTTCATCATCATCATCGTAAACAGCCTATAATAGTCCACTGCTGGACATAGGCCTCTCCTTAGAAAGGAGGTTTTGGCCTACTATACCACGCTGGCCAGACGGGTTGGTATAGGGTTTGTTTCAAGTTTTTCTTCTTTTTGCAGTGCTGTTGTCCTGTGCAGTTTGTTCCCTTAGGCGTTTCTTACGACACCCACGGGATGAATAGCGGTGGTGACATTCCGTATTTTTAATCCATCACCACACGGATTAATACAAACATGTTATACATAAACTTCACCCACGTACAGAAAAAATACGGTGTTCATTACAAGATCTTTTATAATGACAATTAAAATTACTCGTATTTTGACAAAATATTTATAACGGCGTAAAACAGATATAAAAATTAAGTCTTTATGAATGTAACCCAATAATCTTTATTATTTTATGTAAATGTTACGTCAGGAAATGAAAATGTAAAAAACAAGATAAGGTGTGCACTTAGCACTTTCGTGTATTGTCGGCTCAATTGCAACTGTTACTTTATACAGGGAACACCATCATAAAGAAAAACAATAGAAAATACACAAATAACAAGTAAGTCATTTGTTTAAGTAGTGGTGTCAAACGAGTGTGTTTGATTGTGGTGTCAAATCGCAAAGCCATTGAGATTCTGCCCATTAGGCAGAATGTATGCTTGTTTGTTAACTTGGATACAAATAATATAATACAAAATACACTATCTTTATTCAGGCAATTTCATAGAGTTATTCTTATTGTATTGAAATACATGTAAGAATGGCTTTACATGGTTCAAAGGTCGGGTTGCCTCTGACTCTCAAACTAGGTGTGATTCTGTGTTTGAGTCGTCACTGGTTTCTCTCTCTCTCTGGCCACGTTATAAGTACAAACTCCTTTAAATTACAAAATAACAAAGGGAGTATGCAGCGTGTATTTTGTGAGTGTGTGTAAGTGTGTAAATATTTATAACTCTTAAAGATATTAGTTACGGTTTAATAGAATTTTCCAGAATATAATAACTCAATTGTAATAACATGTCGCTATAACTATTAAAGGCAGAGGAGGCTATAAACAAACACAAAACACATGAAAAGAAAATGTCACAAAGACTAGAGAACATTAATGCTTGCAATACATGTCTAAAATGGAAATATTTTGTTCCAGATCTGCTCAACCATGGGATCTGCTACATCTACGACAGCTCTGCAACTAGCCCAAATACCTATAGCTCTACTGACATATCTGGGACTCGATGGAGTATCATGGCCAGAACAAGCCGTTCTGAAAAGTATTTATTTAGTTCTTGTCGTTTTTACACTCTATTTATGATTTTCTCGTTTGCAAAATATGCTTTCGAACAAGACATAATTTGTCCTATCCTATTATTGACTTCTAGAATTGTTTTGATATTTCTAGCATCTATAATAACAACAAGATTTAGGAGTATTTGCTATATCCCCAAAGCTGTAAGCGGAACTCTAATCATCATGATCACCATCAAGAACAACCTTTAATAGTCCACTGCTGTTTGGTCTATTATACCACGCTGGCCAGACGGGTTTTTATAGGTTTGTGTCAAGTTTTCCTAATCTACGCAGTGCTGCTGTCCTATGTAGTTTGCTCCCTTGGTCTGCTCTTACGACATCGAGGTAATGAATAGGGGAGGTGACAGTCCATATTCTTAATCCGTTGTCGCGGGAGTTGACCTTTAAAAGAAAATAATTTACACATAACTAAAATATATGAAAATAGGGAGAGTAAATAAAATAATATAAGTAATTAATTTTCCTTCTTTGTCACAGATAATACTTCATACGACTATATAGTTATCGGTGCTGGTAGTGCAGGGTCTGTAGTAGCAACGAGATTAGCAGAAGATCAACAGAATAGTGTGCTAGTTTTAGAAGCCGGGGGTGATCCACCTATCATCGCGCTTGTAAGTACTTTATTCGAAAAACACATCGTCCTACCGTTTCACAATTTTATTTATAACTAGCTGATCCGGCAAACGTTGTATTGCAACAAAAAAAAAATTAGGGATGGGTCACCCTTACCATTCAAAATTGTGAATCTAAACCATTCCCAGATCCCCTTGAACACACACAAAAAATTTCATCAAAATCGGTCCAGTCGTTTGAGAGAAGTTCAGTGACATACACACTCACAGAAGAATTATATATATAAAGATAGGTTCGGCTTAACGAAAAACTAAACAAAAGTTTGAGACTGTTTCAAAATTTCGGCATTTCGTAAACACTAGTATTTAGATCTGAATCTAGTAAATGTGCTGTCATATTTAATTTCATATATGAATCTTATTAAAAATATTGGTTTAGACTATAAAAAATAGAAAATTCGTTTCAATAGTTTTTTCAAAACAGAATACTGTTTGAGTCGCAGGAACCAAGTAAATCGAACTAATCCATGTACGAAACTAATTAAATCGGCTTAGTAGATTCAAAATAAATTAGCTGTGATAGACAGACCGACAGATGCACGTGTAGCCTAAAAGGTTTCTTCTTTTTTTCATTCAAACTTAGGGAACAGCTGAATTTAGAACCTCGTTATTCATGGATGTAATTTTAAAAGTTAATTAATTAGCTCACAGAAATACAAAAAAAAATATACTTCTGATTTAAATATCTAATAAAATTACAATATATTTTAATTTTTTTTTGTCAATGACATGTGGAAAATGTTTCTCTTGCAGTTGGCGGGATTGTTCGTAGCATTACCTCACTCAATTGCTGACTACAATTATACTTCTACCATCGACCCTTATGCAGCTAGAGGCCAAGACAACTATACTATGTTGACGGCAGGGAAGACTCTTGGAGGTTCTGACACTATCAACCATTTTTTACATATTCGAGGTTCGCCATCGGACTTCGATGGTTGGGCTGAAATATCTGGGGATGATTCTTGGAAATATACCAACATTTTAAAATACTTTATAAAAAGTGAAAGGGTCGACGACAAAGAAATACTAAAAGAACATCCTGATTATCACGGCACGACCGGACCTATGGGCCTCACCAGACAAGAAGTAGATTATGATGAACTCGAAGATTACCCAAAAGCTTTTGGTGAGGCTGGTAATCCTATTATTTTAGACTTAAATGCGAATCAATCCATAGGATATACACAACCACAATACATGTTAGCAGACAGAAAAAGGCAAACACCGGCTTATTCATACTTGCAAAAAGTTAAAGATTATCCTAATTTACATGTATCTAAAAATACACGTGTCACAAAGATTATATTTGAACATAATGTTGCAGTAGCCGTGGAAGCGGTGTACAAGAATAAAAAATATACCTTTAAAGCTGACAAGGAAATAATACTAAGTGCCGGAGCTTTTAATACTCCTCAGATACTAATGCTTTCCGGTATAGGTCCTGAAAATCACTTAAAATCAAAGAATATTGAAGTGATATCAAATCTGCCAGTAGGAGAAAATCTTATGGATCAAGTTACTGTAACCATTGTTTATAAAACAAAAAAATATTTGACACCACTCCTAGGTTTTACTAGACTTGACGCTAACCTTACAAAAATTCCTTTCCCTGTCATAGTTGGAACGGCATCTTTAAATAAATCGGATGTCACAAATGCTGATTATCAAACTTATAACTTACTATTTGCTCATGACACACCACTTCTGACATTAGCGTGCCGTCCTGCTTTTGGATATCGTGATGATATCTGTAATGGCTGGAAAAAACAAGTAAGATTACGCGACTCGCTTTTTAATCTCATTGTAAATGTTCAACCAAAATCAAGAGGCACTGTTCGTTTAAGGAGCACTCGTTCGTTTAAGGAGTCCTGAAATCACCATGAACTATTTCTCAGACCAAGAAGATTTAGAAGATATGTTAAAGTATGTAAAAGATTTTATCAGAATTGGGGAAACGGATACTTTTAAAAATATGAAAGCAGAAATTGTTGGTTTAGATTTGCCGGAATGTGCAGACAAGGAAAGAGGGTCAGATGAGTTCTGGAAATGTTATATTCTTAATAGAGCCATAAGTGTTTTCCATTCCTCATGCACTTGTCCTATGGGAACTGTTGTTGATGGTGAACTGAAACTTAAAGGATTTGAAAATATCAGAATAGTAGATGCTAGTGTTATGCCTAAGGTCCCTAAGAGCGCTCCAAATGCAGCAATTATAATGTTGGCCGAAAAAGCGGCAGATATGATAAAAAGTAAGTTGTAATCATAAAAAAAATTGTTTCTAGACATATTACGTAATAAATAAAAAATATTAGATGAGAACGGTTTCATTTTTTTGTAAATAAATTATCTAGCCGATAAAGGCCACGCCAGGTGTTTCTCACCAATTTACCTAATTCATTGTATCGATGTTTATATGACTAGACCAGGTCTACTCGAATAAAATAAGTGGGATTCTTGTATTATAATTGTCTTTTTCAAATCTAATACGTAACTGCTTTATAAATTATAGCTTTATATAAAAACAATGGCATTGTGATAAATCACTTTTTAAAATTACTTCCATGGCAATCAAGCTGAGCTGACTATACGCATTTACTATATGATGATACATTTACAGGGAATTTGCATTCGCGTTACCAACCTTTTATAAGCCAGTATACTTCTTTCTGGAAGAACCCCATACGTACACAGGTAGGGGGACTTTAGGAGTTTATTAGACAATCAAAGAGATTGCAAGAGCATATTCCTTTGGAATCCTGCCGTACCCAGTTATTTCAGTGAGTCACTCAGAAATATAGTTACCTGTGTGGCAACTTCCACATAGAATGTAACAGAGAAACATACTACAGAGCAATCCTGTATCGTTGTATGAAGAATTCTCTCGCCGATTAGCATAAATACAACTTCCCAACATCAACCGTTGGGCCGCGGCCCATTAGGCATGACCACCTTGCCACATCAGTCGGTCACCACTGCGGAGGAACGGGTGTCGTGTACAGGATTAGCAATTCTCGTTAAGGAGTTACTAAGTACTTTGGTGTGTCTACGTTAAATGGCGCTGTAGTATGTTTCTGCGTTTCATTCTATGTGGTAGTCGCCACACCAGGTTCTATAGTTTTTTCTGATCAGAATATTTGAAAAAAAAAAGCAAAAAGTTTATTAATAAACAATTTTATTGTTATTAAGTATATTTTGTTTAATAAATATTAGTAATAGCTTTCACTTTTAATCATATCGGCGCCTTTCTCAGCTAAAGCTATAACAGCAGCATTAGGTGCACCTTTGGGTGGTTCTGGAATAACACTTGCATCTATCACTCTTATCCTTTTAAAACCTAAAAGATTCAGCGAACCATCAACTAAGCTGCCCATAGCACACGTGCCTGTATAGTGGTATGGACTAATTGCCCTATTTAAAATGTAACACTCCCAGAATTCGTCAGAACCAGGATTTTTATGTGAACATTCATCAAGATCTAAACCGACCAATTCAGCTTTAACCTTTTGAAAGTAGGAGGTTTTTCCAACTTGAATAAAATTCTTAACAAATTTCACCATATTTTTCAAGTCTGTCTCGTCAGTAAAATAGCCTGTCGTAATTTCTGGATCATCAAATGGATCAGTACTTCTTAAGCTAACTGAACCTCTAGATCGTGGGCTAATATTAGCTAACACAGTGTACAAAGTGTCTCTGCCAACGACCTGTTTCTGCCAACTATCACAGATGTCAGTGCGATACCAAAAGGTGTCACGGCAAGCCAATGTTAACTGTGGTGTGTCATGGGGCAGCAATAAGGAATACACCTGATAATCAGGGCATTTTTTACATTTACTTAAAGCCACTGACCCAACCATTACGGGGAACGGCACCTTCGTGGGGTCTGGTATCAAATCTAGTGGATTAGGTAATAAATATTTTTTTGTTTTAAACACCAGTGTTGTCGCAACTTGATCTGTGAAATTCTTTCCTACTGGTAGATCTGCAAGAACATCTATTTTCATTTGTGTTAGATGATCTTTGGGTCCCACTCCAGAAAGCATTAATACTTGAGGAGTATTAATTACACCAGCACTGAGTATTATTTCTTTTTTAGCATGAAGAGTATAGGTTTTTCCTTTGTAAATAGCTTCTACACCTACTGCTACATTATCTTTGAATAAAACTTTTGCAACTCGAGTTTCAGTAGATATATGAAGATTGGAATAATCTTTGACTAATCCCAAATATGATTTTGCAGGCGTTTGCCTTATTTTATCTGCAATCATGTATAACGGTTGCGTATACCCTTGAGTTTTATTGGCGTTAAGATCTAAGACTGTGGGGTGACCGACTTCAGCAAAGGAGGCGAGGTATGGTGCTACTTTGTCTGACGTTTCTCTTGTCAATCCCATAGGTCCATTTGTACCATGATATTGTGGAAAAGTGCTAACTATTTCTTCATCGTCAACTCTTTCACTTTTGATAAAGTATTTTAGAAAATTCTCATATTTCCACGAGTCGTCATCTACTATTTTTGCCCATCTATCTAAGTCATCGGGACAACCTCTGGTATGTAAAAGATGATTTAGAGAGTCACTACCTCCCAGCATCTTCCCAGCTGTTAAAATAGTATAGTTTCCTTGACCCCCAGCAGCGTAGGGATCAAATGTAGATGTGTAGTTATAGTCAACGTATGACATTGGAAGTGTCACGAAGAGTCCGGCTAACTGGAAATAAGTAGAAACCATTTTTAAATTAATGTGTCCCCCATTATAATCTTTTACTTTGAAAACCGTGTGTTTTACATTCTTTTTTTTTAACGCGTGGAATGCTTTTCGCACCATTACCTCCGTTAGGGAAATAGAGGGCGTGTGTTTGACTTCCGGAGAACCGTTCTACCTACTAAACCCCGCAGTGGCCTACTTCATCAGTCAGGAGGAGCTCCAGGAACGCATCGGTGTCTTCTGGAGTCCTCCCTGGAATAACCCATGATTGAGGCACATCCCAAGGTGACCCTAATCACCCCCTTGGCGGGATGCTGCCACGCCCTTCACTGCTCTACACAGTGAGAGGCACAACAGCGCTCCGCCTTAGACGACGGACTGCACCAGAGTGTCACCTGTCTTGGTTCGTTTAAAAACCCATCTACTACTATTTATAACAGTGTCAGTAGTTCGAAAAAAACAAATCTTAGGTGGGGTCTACCATGCTTGAAATATTTGAACTGGTAGCCAATCATTTTCTTTATAACTTTAACATACATAGATGATCTATCATAAAAAGTAATTGACAATCATCAGTTTTGAAATTGATATGGAAAAAAACTCAAAAAGATCTGCATCGATTGAGCTGAAATTGCACGCTTTATATTAGCTTCACTTGTATGTTTGTTAGTAATCGACTCCTTTGGGCGTGATTTTGACTGATTTTAAACGGTCAGAATTCGTTCAAACTTTGTAGATATGTCGAGGACCGATGACAATACACTAATTTAAAAAATAAATAAAAAATATTATAAAGAGAAATAGATTTAAAAAAGTAAAAAACACGCTTTTTATATATTATTTTTAAGTTTGGCTTTCTATAAAAAGCGTGTTTTTTACTTTTTTAAAACTATTTTTTAAGACGATTATTTACAACCCGCTTGGCCTTGGAACAGCTAGTGTTCTATAATTATGGATCTTCAAGAACATATACCAAAGCATTTATAGGTGGGGTGTGTCCAGCTTCCAACACCAAAATCTTGTTTTTCTTATCTTCAGCTAATCTTGTAGCTACTACCGAGCCTGCACTACCACCTCCAACGATGATATAGTCATATGATGTGTCATCTGAAAATATTTCCATATCAGCAATCTAAATCTATACTAATATTAAAAAGCTGAAGAGTTTGTTTGTTTGTTTGTTTGTTTGAACGCGCTAATCTCAGGAACTACTGGTCCGATTTGAAAAATTCTTTCAGTGTTAGATAGCCCATTTATCGAGGAAGGCTATAGGCTATATATCATCACGCTAAGACCAATAGGAGCGGAGCACCAACGAATAATGTTTCAAAAACGGAGAAAATTTATTACTATTGAGAGACGCAGACGAAGTTGCGCGTGTCAGCTAGTTTATAATAAAGGTTTTAACTTTTTTAAGTTTGATTACTTATAAAAAAAGCCTACTTCTCTCAAATTTAAAATACCAAGTCTAAGGTTTTACAAAATTTGAAAGAAGATGATATGTCAATCTACCACGTTTCTAAAGTTCATTAAAGTTCTCTAAAATTCGTTTAAAGTCATAAACAAAATACAATAGCCAACCTGACGCGTTCACAAACTTATTAAAATGGTGTATAAAGTTATGAATGTTTACAGACTATATTTATATTTAAGTTAAACAACTCCTATAATCCTAGAATGTTCCGACATAATCCAATATTTGCAAATAACTGTTTTTTGCACTATTTACTTGTTTTAACGTAAGGCCTAAAAATACGTCAAGATACCTCAACAACATTCTGTTCTTCTCAAAAATGCTCAGAAAACCAGATAGTGCACTTATAGATCACAATATTCTACAATTTAATGAAATAACGTGCATAGGACAAATAAATTTCTCGGTATTGTGTAGATTAGAACAAAACTAGGAAACAATTTCGCTTGAAACAACCACGTGTCTCATTAAATCGATTAGCTTATTAGTAGACTACTTAGTTTTTGCAAAAGTCTGAACAATCGCTGCATTTCCTTGTAAAACCTGGCCCTGACGCAGCATAGCAGCTGTTAATAGATGAATAAGTATCATCATCATCTGGCTACCCTTATATTTTTATTTGGGGTTGGCGCAGTAAGTATGATAATTACATTCTTCTCTATCATTCGCCATCTCACCGTTAACTTGCCATATCCTCTCTCACACAGTCCATATACCTATTCTTTGGCATTCTACTTCCCTTGTACCCCTCAACTCTCACTTTTTTGGGCATATTTTCCTCATGACATGACATGCGCATACCAAGATAACCTATTAACTTTTCATCCATCATAACTTTTTTTCTTGTTTTAAAAAGACAACTCCCGCATTAGGAATAAATCCTGTGTCGCGGGGGACTTTACAAACATACATGAAACGGACACAAAGAACACACAGACTCAGAACAACAATTTGTGGATCACACAAAGTGTCGTCCCATGTGGGGTTTGAACCCACAACACTCGGCGTAGTAGGAAGCGGCGTGGCGACCGCTTAAACCACTACGCCATCCCTGCAGTCGACTACTATTAAGTATGTACTAGTATATTGTAGTAAAAAATACTTTTAAGATCAGTTTGAGTGGGATAATTCGTGCCGTCGATTCCAAGGCTAGCCAGCAGAGCAAACGCTATCTGACTAGCTCGTATCGCCAATCCAGCAGCACTCGATAACATTGCTTCAAAAACCTGAACAAAATAAATAAATTTCTTTAGTCATCATCATCATGATCATAAGTCTTAATTAGTTCACTGCTAGACATAGGCCTCTCCTTAGAAAGGAGGTTCTGGCCTACGGACCAGACTAGGCGGGTTGGTTTAGGGTTTGTTTCCAATTTCCCTTCTCTTGGCAGTGCTGTTGTCGTTGTAACGGGAATTATACCCTCCTAAATAAAAAAATCATTTTCCAAATCAAATAAATGATAGAGTTTAAAGGTAACAAGTCGAAAAAGAAAGCTACCTCAGATCTCAGTCATATAGCAAAAGTAGAACTAAATAGAAAATCTCCTTCTTTTGAAGCCGTTTACAAATATAGTATGATGTAAACAAATAGCTGACGATGTGAATATATTTTATTGTGTTCTGAGTTAATTCACAATTATAGCATTTGGTAAGATTTGTTGGTTTAATTCGTTTGTAATTTATAATTTATGTAACTACAATATCGCATTGGATTTAGTCTGTAAGGATATTGTAAGAAATAAATGTAAAAAAATAAATAATATAACAATGGACATTAAAACTTAGTCTTAATCAGAAATTATTTTGCTTCTTATCTTCTGAATTTTCTGTCTCCGAACTGACCATGTAAACGTTTATTAATTTAAAGAAAAAACTTACTTTTTGACTTTTGAGTTCTTGGATCCTAGAGGTGGTTACAGCTGTTATGGTTTGTGGCGAATTTAAATTCTGCCGGTTATTTTATACTTTCTGTATGAATCGCAATAAGGCATCGGCTAAACCGTGCGATTTTTTTAAAATTATTTATAGCATCGACAACACTTGTTTATTAAATTATTTAAATCGTCATTTAAAGGGCAATCCTTACTGAGCGATAAAAATACGTTGAATGAGTTCTTTTACTCGTATACTATTTGAATCGCCTGATTTTTCATCGCACGTGCACTCACAAGGTTATAACAGACATCCATTAAAAGTAGAATAGATAACATGGAAATTTTAGGACCCAATGTCTATACCTTATTTAAATATAATATACCTATAAAGATAGTATTTAATGTACCTATAAACACGGACTAAAATGTAATAAAACTTGCAATTAACATTTAAAAATGATCACCGACTTCAAAGAACCGAATTCATGGCGAAATGTAATAAACTGTATTCTTTAGTTTTTACTTTTTCACCTTTAGGGTGGGATTTAAATGAGACCATGTGTGGTTTAAAAACAAAAAATAAAATATATAAAAAACAATTATTCCAAATAAAATAAAATCTATAATATAAATATTGGAGTTCTAAGGTAACAAACATAAAAACAACTCATTGAAAATCATAAGACACGCCCAAAAAGTCATTGTTTTTTTTAAATTTCACAGAACTCATTAAAATTAACAGTGATCCTAAAACATCTGTAAATATCGTCTGCAATTTCTTTACAGGTATAGGACAAAATCTGGCCATAAGAGTACACGCCTCTTCATCTGTTTAAAATAACAATACGGATACACCTAGTGCTAGTAATCTGGCCTCTCTTAACAGTCCTGTAAACTCAATCGGTATTGTGTAAGTAGACGAGTCTCACATTGAATTCATAATATCTCAACTCTGTACTGACAGTGCCACATGCTGGGATGCAAAATTGGAGAAGCTAGGCTCCAAGTCAGGCATATTTGGAAATGCATATAAAATAGTTAAGGACTAACTAGCCAATAGGAAACAACAAGTCAAAGCAGGTAATATCAATAGTGATGAGGCTATACTGTCCTACGGTGTTCCACAAGGGAGTATATTAAGTCCGACACTTTTCCAGCTCTAAATAAATGATCTCTGTCAAATCTCCCTCCGAAACACTAACCTCTTTAGGTATGCAGATGATACGGCAAGTTTTGTCTGGGGACCGAACTACAATACCGTGAAGGAAAGAGCTGAGTATTCTTTATCCAAAATTATGACAAACATCTTGCTGACGTTAAGCCTCTCCAAAACGTACTATGAAGCCTGATCAAAAAAACTAACTCCCCACCATAAAACTTCTCTATCCCTGCTCATACTTGCCTTTCAAAGAACGCCTGCACATGAAAACAAATCGATTGACCTACTACTACTACTACCGCTACTACCTTCTCACTCGCCAGTATTACCGCGATCAATGCTGGCAGTGACAGGTTTCGTCCGATCTGTCCGACCAAGACTCGACGTTCGGCAATCCTCCAGCATGTGCTCGGCGGAGTCTTGATTGGACACGTAATGGTATCATGGTGCCGTGAACTCCCGTCCAATTCGATTCAGATACTCACCGAAGTAACCGTGGTGAGCATCTGAGTCAATCGGTAGGTATACTTCACCGTCCTGTCGCGCCCTTAGGCCCCAATGACGGCCCGCAGGTAGAGCGGCAACTCATTGAATTCAAGGGCCGCCCTTATCGCCTGCCCGGGGAGGGTGCCTAACGCGTTGACGATGTCAAGGCTAATCGAAGATTAAGACTAACGGAAGACACTAGGACTAAAACAATTTGTTCCCTAGTACCGAATGAGGTATCACCAGCGCGTGACCTTGAACACCTGACACATGACTCGGTACAGCTCTCCCTCCTAAGAAGCCTTATAGATACTCCACCGATAAACTATACACAGATTGCAAGTGTTATCAGTTCGACAGCTCTTTGTTTTCAAGTCCACCATGAGAAGACATCGCAGACGTAGGAGGATAACAGACATACATTACGTAACCTACACACTCAAACATCAACATCTACAAGCACATGTTACATATACAAAAACATACAAAATCACACACATACGAGTACCTTTATAAAAACACCAATCCATACATACACTCACATATACACATACCCACTCAACAACATATAGCCCACCTTTGTAATACTATAATATCATCATTTAGCCCTTGTATCCAGCGACCACGTTCACTTGCATGCCCAAAAATTGTAATTTGTATTAGAGTCAGATACACGACTAAAAACTTCCACCCAAAATACAAGCATTCGCTTAGTTTGGAAGACAGTATCAGTACTTAAAGCACAATACATTTATTTGTGTCTAATTATAAGTCATCTTGGTATTGGTTGTGGGCTTCGGTATTCGCATTTAGACTCAAGAGCCTTTATGCGTCGAGGATTGGTTAGCTAGTCACTCACGCCAACCAAGCTCCTTCCAGAACCGCAGAAGTCTCCTGGGGCTTTCACAGGCTTCTAGGAGCGATCTTGTCTCAGGAATGATACTTGCCCGTTGTGCAGCCACTCCCTCGTATTCCAGGACTATGTGGGCGGCCGTTTCCTCTGCTTCCAGACATCCCCTGCACAGAGGGCTTCGTTGCACCACATCTTAAGGGCGCCCTCACTGTAGAAGGCCTTGCCCCTAAACTGTGGCGCAGCGACGGGAGCGCTCGACGTGCCGGGTGAGAAAATCTCCTCGTCCAGCACGCCCTGCAGTTGGCTCAAGTCATCTTGTAAACTGTATAATTTTGCCGACAATAAAATATTATAATTATAAACCCAATTGATAACCTTCTTTTTGTGGAGTCGGTTAAAATAAGGAAAGAAAGAAAAACATTATTTTTATTAAAACCCGCAAAACAGAATCATCTAAAATTAAGATACTAATTTTGTACATAGTGCGAGTCGAATAGGCGATGAAATTGCTGATAAGCCAATGTATTTCTGCTTTAGAAGCCCTTAACTAGGTCCTACTATACGAGTATTATATCATAATCATTCCAGAAAACTTTAATAATAGTAACACTCTTAACATCTCTTCAAAAATTAAATATAGAAATATATTAAAGTATTCTTAATAACTGCATTCGATTTGTTCATAACCTCCGTAAATTTGATCATGTATCCGTTTTCCGTTCGCAGCTCAGTTGGCTACCAATTCGTCTACGCCTAAAACTACGAGCTCTCACTGTCTTATACTCTATCTTAAACATCCCATCTTTGCCAAAATATTTAAACTCCTATTTCCAACTTTTATGTAGTCATCACGACAGAAACCTTCAGTCCTCTAATAACCTTCTTCTTCGTTGTTGGCTCATCCTTTATTGTGCAGTCCATTCTTCTCTGGAATGACCTTCCCCTCGAGGTCAGGATGGCCACCAACACTTTCTCATTCAAAACTAAAGTGACAACTAGTGATAACTAAAGTGACTAAGGTAGAAACAAACTTTCACCAAAATGCACCTACTTCCTGTTCTCTCTGCATCACCCAAAAGTTGACTGGTAGAGAATGCCTTAGGCATTAAGTCCGCCAATTCACCAAAGTGCTTGATGTATGTATAAATAAATAAAGTAAAATTAGTTAGTATTTAATTATATTTTTATTAAAATATTTAGTTTAAATATTTCCATTTATTAATCTCATTAACAAATAATTTTGTACACAACTAATTTTGTACAATATATAATATTGATACCACAAAAGGCAACCTTAACGTAGAGGTCGTTAGGAAAGATAACGCGATAGAAAGAGGGCAAATGCTAGGTAGGCAACAATACTCAAGGTTATTAGCGCTGGGCGTTTTGAAATGCACTTTGTTGTGTTGAAAAAAGGGTCGTTATTTACTTAAATGGCTGTAGAGTTGTCCTTCTGTACTAGTAATATTATTTTTTCTTTGCTGTGTCCACGGTCAAATTGTCTGTGCCTTAAACACGACAAGTCTTACAGTACTAGGCATGACTTATATTATCACTTGTACACACAGTTAGAGCCTATAAATAATTTAGAAGGTCATCAAAGAGTAAGACATTTATTCCAAAACAAAAAAATAAAAATAAAAACTGTGTTACATATGTATGATGAGATATTTTGTAGTAGGTAAAGTTTTAACAGTCACCCAATCGGACATTGCAATTGTAGAGTACACTTTAAATAAAAATGGAAGATTACAAGGAATTAAACAAGCAAGCAAATTATTTTGTGATTTTTTAAGAGCGTTCTTGAACATTTTTAACCGGCTTCAAAAAAAGGAGATCGACTGTTTTTTTTTTTTCATGTTTGTTACCTCAGAACTTTTGTTTAGGTGAACCGATTTTGATGATTCTTTTTTTATTTGAAAGCTAGTGATTCCCGTATGGTCCCATTTTAGGTTTTCATTTTCATTTCAGGTCATTTTTGGTTCAGTTCTGATAATGGTATCCATGAGAAAAGCATATAAGTCTTGTCGGTGTCAGCCTAGGAAACACTACGATATACCCAGCAATAATAATCCAAGAATACTTTAAGACTCGTCAACTCGCGCGTACGACACAAGCACTTCTCACTTATAACTATGTATATACATATGAGAAGGAAAACTTGACACAAACCTTATACCAACCCGTCTGGCCAGCTTGGTATAGTAGGCCAAAACCTCCTTTCTAAGGAGAGTCCTATGTCCAGCAGTGGACTGTTAAAGGCTGTTGATGATGATAAACATATGTATGTATATAGTTAACGTAGGTTTGTTACCTTGGCTGACACGGACTCCAAAAATAACAATAATTGTAACTACATTATATTCATTTCATTTCACTTAGGAGAACTCAATAAAAATATTTTGATCGTTGGTTCTTATTCATAGGTATATGTTGAGTTAGATTTGAAGTGGGTAGGTATCTACGTACCTTCTTGCGTGGTAAACACATAGATCGTACCTACATATTGATGAGTAGAAAAAGTAAGTTGATTATTAAGTTGTAGAAGAATATGCATTTATTTTTTTACTTTTTAGTGCATATTAATTTGTTTTGGCATAGTGTTTTTGAAATCGTTTTTTTTTTTTGTTAAAATTTTTGTTTATTTCGTCTAATTTCTTTATTTCTAGCGGGAGCTTATTATATACTCTTATTGCTGTTATGTATGTGCTTTTGTGATTTAGCATGTTATTAATATTGGGTAGGTTTATAGTGAATTTATGCTTATTGCGTATATTATGTTTCGAGTTGCTTTTAAAATTAAAAGATATGTTACATTTTACAAAAATACACAATTACAATACATCACATCAACAGCCTTTAACAGTCCACTGCTGGACATAGGCCTCTCCTTAGAAAGGAGGTTTTGGTCTACTATACCACGCTGGCCAGACGGGTTGGTATAGGGTTTGTGTCAAGTTTTCCTTCTCTCTGCAGTGCTGTTGTCCTGCGTATTTTGCTCCCTTAGTCGCCTCTTACGACAGCCACGGAATGAATAGGGGTGGTGACACTCTGTATTCTTAATCCGTCACCACACGGATTACAATAAATAAATGCCTGTAAGTGTGAGGAAAACCCCTTTTCTGAAAAAACAGCTCGTAAAGATTCTGTGCTATGCATGTTATAAATTGTGTGCAGACATTTTTTTTTGTTAAATGAATGTTGATTAAATATCAGATGAATTGCCCAATATATAACCCCATACGTTAGAAGAGGGTACACATAACCATAATAGGCGAACTTAGCGGTATCTGTAAAAGTTGTTTCAGCAAGCACAGATATGGTTTAGCTAAAAATAAATAATTTCTTGTAATGGTAACACCAAGACAAAATTCATCGAAAACTCTAGAGTATAAATCTTGATTACTTCATGGAATAATAATTACTTTTACTGTTATAACAGTTGGTTTGATATTTGGAACTAACAATGACATTCTGTTTTATTTAACAACTAGCTGACCCGGCCACGCGTTGCTGTGGCTAAAGTTTTTGTTATATTACATTATAGTAAACAGTCTAAGAGGAACAATAAGAGAACATCAGTCACGGAGTCCACTATGCTTTTTCACACAGATGGTATTTGTAAAAAAATATGGTGATCTCCTTATTTGACTTTCTACTACTATAACCCTTTAGTACAATGAAATTATTTACGAACAAAGACGAAAATGTTGATGTTGGTATACAAATTCACTGGATTGAGATTTGAAGGGGAAGTACATTGAACACAATTAATTAAAATGTTCTTACACTTGCTATTAAGCAGAAATCAATAGGTACAAAATAAAAATTTATCAGATTTATTATTTCCATTTAATTTTATAACAAATATAAGTATATTACAGTATAATACAGTAAATAACATGTAACGCTTAAACTCATGAATGAGGTAGGCAAGGCAGACAGTCTTAAACTTTTAAACATTAATATCTATTTTTTTGAATTATAAATACTTTCAATTTCAATTTAATGTAACACCAATCGGTGCACAATGTTTTTGGTTAACCTGTCTTTAGCTAACAAACGAATTGGAAACTGTAGCCTTTTGAAGGGTAATGTAGAATCTGATGGTATCATCGGAATACGTGGCAGCAGGACCACTTTTCCTTTAAACTTCCCAGCCAAAATGGTTGCTTCAAGAATGTTTCAGGTGATCTTTTTGATGACCAAACGCGTACCGTTACATAATTGAGGTGGATTCAAATTACGGAGGAGAATAATAGGGGAACCAATCTTTAATCGAAGATTATGTGGTGGCATTCCAGGGATATCTAATGAATTTAAAAATTCAATCGGAAAATTTACACTTTCATTTTCATCAACAACAGTATCGATTGATTTAAAAGACATCAGATCGCCTGGTAACAACTGTTGTATCTGGAAGCTAATTTCGTCAACATCAACGTTTTTGGCTGCCAAAATCGCCCGTTGACTAAGCCATTCATGATTCAAATAATTATTCTGTATATCCGGGAAAATACTCTGAATCAATTCATTTTTATCCTGAACAACAGTGCAAAAATTGTCTGGTAGTTTAATGCATTGCGTATTTGGTTGCAGTTCTATTTTACCGTTCCCAATATCTAGTAGTTGTTCGGAAAATATTTGTGCTGATGGATCATTTTGCAATTGTACTCGCATATTTATGGTCAATCGAAGTGTTTCAACACTTCGCCATAAGAATGATTGTTTCAAACATGCATTAATCTCATCCGCGAAAGTAGAGCGAGGTATAACCGGTAAGGTCTGCCGGAAGTCACCAGACAAAAGTAAGATAGCACCACCGAAAAGTTTATTATTGCTGTTTAAATCTTGCATAGTTCTGTTTAATGCTTCAAGTGAATATTTGTGTGCCATTGTGCACTCATCCCAAATTATTATAGAACTCTTCCGCAACACTGCAGCTATTCCACTATTCTTTTTGATGTTACACATTGCATCTGGTTTATTATGAACATCCAATGGCAGCTTGAATGTTGAATGTGCTGTTCGCCCACCATCCAGTAAAGTAGCCGCAATGCCTGACGATGCTACTGCTAATGCGATTTTTTGTTGCGACCGTATTTTGGCAAGAATCAACGATATTAAAAATGTCTTACCGGTTCCACCGGGTGCATCCAAGAAAAAAAAACCGCCTTGTTCAGCAGCAACAGCCAGCATAATCCGATCATAAATAATTTTTTGTTCTGCTGTCAGTAATGGTTCACTGTTAATGATAATTGTTGCTAAACTTCCATGGTCATATTGATTTTCTCGTTGTAAATCGGTATTGACTAAGTCGGTGGCTGGACGATTAGGTGATGGCATACCATAATGATTAAGTGGTAAATTTGGAATCATCTGAATTGCCAGTAAGAAGGGATAATAAAGGCTCCGGCGGAGCGGGTAGAGGTGACAGCACAACTTTTCCTGATGCGCAGCACATGCCGGCTGCTTCATTCCGAAATTTCAATGCCTGACAATATTGACATACTTTATCCATTCCACCGATAGCAATTTTTGAATGCGCTGAGTAGTTAATATCTGGTGCATATTCAAAGGCAAGCCGAACGAATGATGCACGTGTTAATGAGCGGCTGATCCGTTGCCTTTGTCGATCTAGTACTCGTACTGTAGCTATGTTTCGTTCTCGTGCCGCTCTTGTTCTCGTAATATTCTGTTGCAGACGTTCGTCACGCTGTTCTTGAGATTCTTGTGCACGACTTTCTGCAGTCCTGGTTCTTTGAGCTGCATTCCTTGTTTCGATTTGTTCTGGTAATTGCTGAGCTCTTTCAACACGTTTGCGTCGTGACCCATTGCTGCTCGCGTTGTTGAGGTTAGATTTTTTCGGTAGCATTTGACTGAAAATAATAATTTAATCGTTTAAATATTAGAAAGAGGAACTGAAAAACATGTTATCATAGCACATTGAAATAATAAGTGCAAAATAATTTTCAATGGAGGTTAAATAAAAATAAGCAATAAGTGTGGGGAGCTTTGGGCCATTTTCTCATTGATATATTAATTAACTTTTATAAAACTATGTGATATTACTTACATGTATAAATTGAAATTATTGTTCCTGTGCTCCTACTGTGGCTATGTCTCGTTCTCCTGCTGCTCTTGTTCTTTTATAATATGAATTCAATTTACACTTCAGTCTAAGTAACACGTGGCCGGCTATGCTAACACCAATAATTTAAAAAGTGGAAATAATTGAATTATACGGTATTTCGTTCACTACAAAATAAATTTAATTAATTTTATAGCGTCAACAACACGTGGTAATTATGCTGTTAAAATGTAGCTTATATGACACGTTCGTAGATTTACCATAGCAGCGCCATCTCTTGATTACTTACTCAACCCAGTCGAAAGGTATCGACAAACACCAAAAATTTAAAAAGTGGAAATAATTGAATTATACGTTATTTCGTTCACTACAAAATAAATTTAATTAATTTTATAGCGTCAACAACACGTGGTAATTATGCTGTTAAAATGTAGCTTATATGACACGTTCGTAGATTTACCATAGCAGCGCCATCTATTGATTACTTACTCAACCCAGTCGAAAGGTATCGACATACACCAAAAATTTAAAAAGTGGCAATAATTGAATTATACGGTATTTCGTTCACTACAAAATAAATTTAATTAATTTTATAGCGTCAACAACACGTGGTAATTATGCTGTTAAAATGTAGCTTATATGACACGTTCGTAGATTTACCATAGCAGCGCCATCTATTGATTACTTACTCAACCCAGTCGAAAGGTATCGACATCTGTTAGAAGCATTTGGAGTTAACAGATAATTGTGACTGTCAAATAATAACAGACAAATAATTAGCAATAAACTAAAATTGCGACTATAATTTGAGATTTAAACTATCCTATCTCTCAAGTTGGATCGAACTGCACATGATGTGCGAATTTTATTATAATCGGTTAAGTGGTTTAGGAGTCCATTGAGGACAAACATTGTGACACGAGATTTATATATATTAAGATATGTTGGTTGTCAAAAGAAAAATAATAATAATAATTTTAATTACTTCTGCGTTATCTGTCAGTGTCTTAATATGTAACCGTCCCAGGCCAAATTCCATGCTTCGGTATACATGGACCTAGCTGGAGTCATACCATGGCCTCACTCAAAACCCGATGTCGAGTAATCCTACCCACTACGTACGATTACTCGACATCGGTTTTTCAGTGGCCAAATTCCATGCTTCGGTATATATGGGCCTGGCTGGAGTCATACCGTAATTGTCATAATCATAGTAGTAATTGTACGTAGTGGCGTACTGGTTTAAGCGGTCACTTCACACCCGCTTAATGCTGCTCCGAGTGTCGTGGGTTCAATCCCCACATGGGAGAGCCCATGTGGGGATTGAACACACAACACTTTGTGTGATGTACAAATTGTTGTCCTCTCCTGTCCAGGATAACAATTTATCTCCGTTTCATATATGTGTCTGAAGTCCCCTGCGACACAGGATATGTAGTGAATGAAGCCGGAGGCCCAAAACATTCCCTTCCCTGATAGTGAGGGAATTAGTCACGTAAAGGGCACTTCAGTTACAGGTATCCATGGACGACGGTAGTCACTCACCATCAGCTGACCTGCTTGCTCTTTGGCCCATTACGTACTAAAATATGATGAAGGCCATGAAGATGCTGATGTCTTTCGAACCGTACTCAATTACTGATCAAAACAATACTACTTGCTACAGTTGTTATTAATTCAGAATCATTCCGAAACGTAACTGTGACAAACGGAGTTGACTATCCAGTATTCAAAAGCAAAATTCGAATTGAATATCCAGAAACAACTTGACAAAGAGTTTGTTGATTTGACAAAGATATTTGGGTTCAAGTTTTGATAGAACATTATTGAAAACTATAACTAGTACAGAAACTTTAAGATATGTTTTAACTAGGACAAGAGGTAATTTAGTTTCACGGTACGCTGGGATTACTCACACCTTTATTCTGGAATAGCTAGAACAGATTAGATTTTGAAGTGAAAACTTCTTAAAGCGCGTGAGGCATTTTTGAACAACAAACAAAAGAATGTATTTTTTGAGATAGGAATAAACCTCACCTCTATATATAAGTAACTACATATATTGGCCTCGTTTACACGAGAATTGAGTTCAGGTTGAAATACATTGAACATATAACTATATCTATACTAATATTATAAAGCTGAAGAGTTTGTTTGAACGCGCTAATCTCAGGAACTACTGGTCCGATTTGAAAAATTCTTTCAGTGTTAGATAGTCCATTTATCGAGGAAGGTTATAGGCTATATATCATCACGCTAAGACCAATAGGAGCGGAGCACCAATGAAGAATGTTTCAAAAAAGGAGACAATTTATTACTATTGAGAGACGCAGACGAAGTTGCGCGGGTCAGCTAGTATAATATAAACATATAATGTATATATACGTACAACATATTTACAACTTCACGAATAAAAGAATGTTTTACTTTTCACTTCTGTCTGCGCTCTCGGAGTGCCGCTGTTTTTTTATTTGCATTTATTGTAGGCGGCATCCTTTTAATATTGGTATAGGGACAAAACAGCAACAGACCTTATGTTAGGTGACGATCGTGACTCGTGGATATAACCAGATCAAGAGTCACACACTGCATTACCAGCTTTTAAGTGCCCCTCCTCCAATTAGCGAAGTGTTTAGGTCTCTGCTAATCCCATTCACTTGGTAAAAAGCAACAATTGCCTAGCACCGATTTTCTTTGAGGTCGTATCACTCCGGTCGAACCGGTATCTAAAATGTTTTTATAATTTATGCGGTACTAGCTTTTGCCCGCGACTCTACCCGCGTGTATTTCGGTTATCGCGGCAAAAAGTAGCCTATGTTACTCGCTGATAATGTAGCTTTACATTGGTGTAAGAATTTTTAAAATCGGTTTAGTGATTTAGGCCTAAAAGCGTAACAAACAAACTCACTTTAATATTAGCCTTATATTACTCGCTGTTTCCATTGGTATTAATAGCGGTTTAGTTGTTCAGCACGCTTAAACCATTAAACCGATATTAAAATTCAATAAAAGCGTAACAAACAAACCTACAAAGAAATTCACTTCTACATTTATAATATTACTATGGAAATGTACCTTTGTGTGCAAAAAAATAAATATTTTTCTTTCTTTCTTCTTTCCTTTCTGCTAATAGGTGTTTGCGGTTATTTCATCACCATCTTTATGACACGTTGAGGGTTCGATATACCGTAACGTTTATTTACTTTTAAACAGTATGTTAAAACATTAGATTCAAGTTTTCTTCTGTTCAAATTTTTCCTCTATAAGAATTTCGAATTCTTGTCGTGTCTGAAAATATTAACTCAAACTCCCATGGTAAATGTTGTAACCTTCAAAATCAATCAGAAAGGTCATCAGTTCACAAAGAAATATTACTTGTCCACCCCGAAAATAATAAAGCCTGGAGTCTCGAAGACATGCAGCAATTTGTCTGTCGTCCCTGCACCCCAAGGTCACGACCTCGGGATACAAATGACTCAGCTATTAATTATTTGTTACGAAGCTACATCGGTATTTAAAGATTGATTTTATAAAAAAATATAGCACAGATATTACAGAAGACCAATATTAAGTCGCTTTTTCCGTCGCTTTTCACTGCGTGAGTGATGTTGTCGGAGCCCAAGGACCTCAGCCGGCCTCAGCATCAGGATTCTGAGGATCTTCGTTGGATCCCAGTTTTGATTTATTGGGGTTAGATCCCAAATAAAAATTATTATGTATTTCCGTTGGAGCCCAAATGCTTAAAAAAATCAGAATGCAGGTACTTGCAGCAACAAAATTGTTTATAATAAAATGAGGAAATATTTTTTATATTGACTAAATATTCTGTTCTCTTTGTCATTACGCCTATATATTTACACGTGTAACCATTGCTTAGACTGACTTTTATACAAAATAACTATATTTTGTATAGAAGTTGTGTATAAAAGTGTTGCCACGATGGCACAGCAGGACCACACTCTCGTGTTAGAAATAAACTTGTGTTATGATTATCTCCGTCATGAAAGCGCCCTCTGACTACTAGAAGTGGTGATTTATGTATCTAGATGAAATCATAAACAATAATTAAAATAACAGAAAAGCCATAGTCTGAAGTATTGGTAATAAC